ATTATTATTATTATTATTTTGTCCTTTTTGAGACCGGCCACACCGCACTCAGCCAGTGAGCTCTGTGAGCAAACCGGTCATCCCTATATAGGATCTGAACCCGCGGCGGGAGTGCTGCTGCGCTCCCAGCGCGGCACTCTCCTGAGTGCGCCACCGGCTCGGCCCGCAAGAATATTATTTTTATTCAGGAACATATCAAACAAAACAAGAAGTCCATTGGACAGTAATTTTCTCATTAGTTGCACAACCACTCACCTTAAGCTGCAAAGTAGGCCAGTTCTGAATTTCCGCACAGAACAGACAGAGGTCTCTGCCATTAATTCCCAGGTAAACGAGATTACCTTTTTCTTCATCACTGAATTCTGTGTCTCGACATGGTAGTAAGTCAAGAGTGACTGCAAACATAAGGGGAGATGGAGAACACGTTAGGCTCTGAGCATTCAGGAGTCCCCCAGATCGGCTCCCCCATTAGCTGTGTGGCAGAGACCGTCTGTCATCATCCTTTTTCTGCCTTAATATCAGAACGCCAATTGTTACGAGGGCACATTGTTTCCCAAAAGTAAAAATAAAATTTCCCACTACTTTGCAGCTAAATGTGGCCATATGCTTAATTTGTGGCCCATGAGATATACATAAAAGTGTTGTGTAGAATTTATAAGAATGTGCCCTAAAAGGAATTGACCCGGCTGGGAGGAGTTCCTTTCTTATACCCCTTTTATTGCCTGCCTCAAACACTTAGGTGATGGATGAGATGACCTTGAGGTTGGTGAAGCAGAAAGCTAGAATCCCTGACCTCTGGGGACATCATGGAGCCACCACACCGGCCTGGGCTTGCCTACTAGGGATCTCTTTTACCTGAGAAAGAAATAAACTTCTATCCTAGTTAAGTCCTGATTATGTGGCTTTTCTGTCACTGTCAGCTGATTTTAATTCCCAATTAACTTAACATTATTCCTGTTTCTCAGGAGCCTGAGTGTTTTACATCTATCCTTCTGGGCTGGGCACAGGAAATGAATCCATTCAACGAATATTTATTGAATGCCCACTCAGGACAAGCCACGATATGGGCACTGGAGATTTATCTGAGGACAAGAGAGACATTGTCATTGCCCCCCAGGGAATTTATAATCTAATGGGAAAATGAGATAAAAAGATGTAAACAGAGAAATGACCAAAACCACTCTTTGGAGAGAGTGACCAAAACCTGGGAGAGTAGAAGAAAGACCAGATTTAGACACAGAAATCAAGGACGACCTCTCTGCAGAGGTGAAATTCAAGTCAAGACTTAGAGCTAAGGGGAAGCTACTATATGAGGAAATTGGGTAGGGTGGTGGAGGGGCTTTGCAGGGAGAGTGTTACAGTGAAATGAAGGGTTTATGTAAAGGCCCTTCCACAGAAAAGATCTTGTATGTTCAAGGTTCTGAAAGAAGACTGGTGCATCTGAGGTCTTCACTTCTTCCCCCACCCCCAAACACAAACATGTGGGCATGATATTCAATGAACATATTAAGAAGGTCACTCACTATGCTCTGAAGAAGAGTGGAGAGTGGATGAGAAGTTACACAAATACAGTGGGAGGGAGGGCAGTGGTTCAGGTGAGAGACAATATTATCTCAGACATAAGGCATATTAGGCACACAGACTCATCAGTGTTTGCGGATGGATTGGATGGAGAGTGAGGGAAAGGAGGCATCAAGGATGTCTTCTGTGTCACTGCTCTAGGAAATAGAATGGATGGTAGTGCCACTCACAGAAATTGTCAGCAGTATTGAGAAGGCAGCTCCATAAGTTCCGCTTGGGATATGTGAAGTTAGAGATGTCTGAGAGAACATTACAAGGACAAGGGTAAATTGTTTAGAGAGGAGATCTATGTTGGCCACATAAATGCCGGGCTGATGGACATAGAGGAAGTAAATCGGTCCAAGAGACCATCTCACCATCCCTCCACAGGGCTAACCTAATGATTGCAGACNGGGGAGCTGCCCAATTTGCAAATTGTTCTTTGCTCAGTTAAACTCTGTTAAACTGAATTTGTCTAAACTTTTCTTTTAACACTACAAAACTTTCTTTTAGTATACAGACCATAAACATGTAATCTGCAGTATCTGGATTAATGATCTCTCTCTCTGTCTCCTCTGCTGTGCAGTGTTTTTTGCTTAACTGGGAACATCCCATCATCTCAGAGGATTTCCAGGAGGCAGTTAATCAGGACAGAGAATGGAGAAAGCACCATTCCTTGGCTTTTCTGAAACATTCCCATGGTGCATTCTCTGTCTTTCAGAGGATCCACGCTCTGACATTAAAATAAGTGCTATACCCGTTCCAAAGGTAGCATTTACTGATTTGGGGATCAGCCACTCAGTTTTCCTTCCTTACATTGAATAACCCAGGATTGCAAGAATATTATTATTATTATTATTATTATTATTATTATTATTATTATTATTATTATTATTATTA